TCGACGTAGCCGCTGGAGCACCCGTAATACCCGATTATCGCCGTCAGTGAGCCGCTCCGGCGCGCGCGCGCACCCGCTTGTGTGTATTTAGGGGATGAAAAAAAAAATCTGACATTGAAGAAAAAATACAAATTCTTTTAAAAAAATCATCAAAGCTAAACGAAATAAATCAAAAAAAAACTAAATAAAATACTGCAAACGCCGCACGGCGACGACGATCTTTAGTTTTGATTTCGCCGCGTAATCCGATTATCTTTTAGTGACATTTTGGCACCGCTAAACGCACTTTTGCACCCACACAATAAGGCGGGCGCGTGCACAAGAGAGAGAAAGAGAGAGAGAGAGAGTGAAATGCTGCGTAGTCGAGTGGGCTCGAGGAAAGGTGACTTGCCCCAGTCGCAAACCGTGCATAATCGTGATTTAAGGCACGATTCGTGGGAATTTCTGGTTTCCCCTATATTATGTGTATTGCATAACAATACAATATGCACATACATTAGATCTATTGAATATCGGTAAAAAATACGTACTTACCTATGAGCATTGCTTAAATATATAATATATATATAATATATACATATATATATTAAAAATCTGTTAATAAGAAACAATACTTTGGGAGCCTAAAACAATGAATAATCAGAGAGAGCTGAAAGTGAAGTGGTGAATAGTTTTGACAGCACTATAGCACAACCGCGATAGTGACCATGTTTGTCACTACAACATATTTGTATGTATGGTTTATAGTTAATACCACAGTGTATTATAATATCTGGTATACCTAGTATACTCGAAAAGTATGTAAATTAATTAGTTTTCTAGATAAACTGAACAAGTGGGTTGTTATAATTAATAAATCAATACAATCTATGTTAGGCCCAATTTCCTATTTTAATAATTACCTGTCTTTAATAATTATTTCTATCTATAAATAAGTTGAACCGTAGGAACAATTAGATGTATAGACTATAAGGTAAGATATATAGACATAGTTGCAGGTTATTGGTAAGCCTTGTATTAATAACTATTTTTTGACAAAAACAATAAACTTTTCAAAACAATTTGGCACAAATAATTTTCTCTTCTATAAACTGTGAACATTTGTTGATTTTACAATAACTCAAAAGACGCACTTTGGTTTTAATTTGTAAAAAACAATTTTCGTAAAGGAAAAACCGCACTCAGATTTTGTACACTCCCGGGWCACGTATAGAGCAGCGCATTCTATTGGCCAGCATTATAGTTACGTTCTGACCGGGTAGCATCCCCTTAAATGGACCACTGAATATATTTATATCACGATATGTCTGTAGATTATTATGGCTCGCACAATAAAGTCTGATACACAGTTTTGAGGTTTTGACGAACACAATTTGCTGTTTGATCAATTTTGAATATTATAATCACTATTTGTTTGCGTTCATCTCTTTAAATATTATAATCTCTATATGCGGATAAAAGCACTTAAAAAATGTCGAACAAAAGGGYCTACCTACTATAGAAAAATAGAAAAGTAAAAAAAAAAAATTGTATTTAGACGAATGCACCGGATAAATTTAACCATGCGTTTGATTCGAGGCATTACAATAGTGTTGCAGCGATAGATAAAAAAAAATTAATACCTACGTAAAATATGACCAAGACGTGTACAGTATACACCTCACACTATAAGCGTTATAATGTGCTCTGCAGATCATACTCGTATTACAGGAAATATACACATATATATTATRTTATATTAATATATTATTTACATTGGTTTTGTAGGTAGTAGATAAAATAATATTATGTGTACGACATTGTTAACGTTATCTTACATTATCAGTTTCCTAAAGTATGTATAAAACGGTATAAAATACTCAGTGAACGTTTTGACCACGAGTCAATTGTACCTACTGTTTTTTTTTTTATATATATATATATTATTTTCAACAAAATTGTTTGAAGATGAAACGATTTATTTCCATAATTTGGGTATTCATCTGCACTATGGCTGTGTTYCAAGTAAGTTTCCATTCAAAAATACTTATTGTTAATTCTTATTATTTTTTATGTAGGTACCTTTACTTGATACTTACTTGGTTTTTCATTTATCTGATTTATGGCGAAAAAAAAATATCGATTAATTATATATATATATATATTATTACTTTGTTGCTATTATATTTGACAAAAATACATTTAATTATTTTAACTGTCGATAGAACATTATAATACAATTATTATAATTTATAAATAAATAAAAATATTTTATTTGCAGAATGGTGGTGTATACGCAGGTAAATGCATTCTTTGTAAATTTGGATCCATCTTAACAACACCAGTAAATGTATCGGTTGCAACAGTAAGTAATTTATTAAATTATTGGACATACCTACGCTATTTTGATAGGTAGTTAAAAAAAAAACATCAGATAGTTTAGGAATTTAGAAAATTAAGGATTGACAATTATGTCAATATTAAATTATTACTATATTATATATACAGTGACAGACTATGAAAAAAATTCGAAAAAAAATTTTATTTTACCAGCCTTCAAACTTGTTTCATCATAAATTAATTTAGTGATTAGATTATAAATTCGTGTTTATTTTGGATTTTTATAAAACATATTGCCCTAATTTTATAAATTCATATTTTGTACTTTAAAAACACAATATTATATAACTTTTAAAAATAAAACGCAAGAAACTACATTGTTTTTTTTTTTATAAAATAAAAAACTTTATTTTTTAATAATCTCAATAAATTGCRTCTTATACCTACACACACATTTTTCTCTTCAAACATTAAGCAAGACCATAAAATAGGAATGCCGTCCAATTATTAATTATAATAAATAACAGTTCACTGTTTACTACGAGCCAAGGCCTAAAAGAAAAAGTCTCACCTGCATAGTCCACCACTTGCTATACATTCTTTTAAGCCGATTAACATCAAAGACGTTCCTCGTCTATATTATATGTATATTTTTCAAATAAAACTTATATAATATTATTAAGATGTATATAATGTTTGTTTCAGAAATCAAACAATGATAAACTCAAGACGCGCCATACGATGACGATATCATTACAAAACTCGATTTTAGTAAAAACTGTAAGTAAATATTATTATTGTACAGATAATAATAATATAATTCAGACACAAGGGCGCCCATCTGTCAAAGCCTAGGAGGTGACAATCATAAAATAAATAACTTGAAAACTAAGAATCAATCAAATTTATTTTATTAAATAATGAAACAAAATATATACATTTTATATGTGAACAAAAATAATAATCGACATAGTATTACAATAAAAACCTTATCATTAGTAAAATTAATCTATTATTCAAAACTAAAAAAATAACAATATTTTTTCTAAGGGAGGGGGCGACACGTCACCCCTTTGCATATGGGTGCTCCAGTCTAGATAACTTATACTGCAGTCGTAGGTTCGTTTAGTTTTTAACAATTTTAAGGGGAATCTTGACATGATTTTTTATAGAGCTTGGACCATCATCATATTGCTGAAAATGGATTTTCGTCATCCATAAACACTGTCGAAGATTTGGTAAAGTTTTGTTCACAGACTTCATTGGCTGAATTGTCGCCGGACCACAAAGTATCGCTCATTGCGACCATTACGTCTGTGTACGGTAGTATGATGGACCCACCGCCACCCGCCATAGTCACTTACTTGGTCGGCATGTTTGCTTGTACTCCAAAATTGTTCAACACGCTTTCTCAACCGTGCCTAAACTCAGCACTGTCGATACTGTCGGTTAACCGTTGCGCACTTTGCGAGGTGCCGTCCAAGGACAGGGTCCTGTTCTTGAACGGATTGCTGTCGCTGTCCGCGGGMGCCCTGAACAGTATCCCGAGGGGCAGTTTCATMTCCATATTAGGAATCGTTTCCTCTCCTGAGTTTTTCGTGGATTTACCACATCCGTCTGCTATAAATTTGATTACCGCGCTATCCATGTCGAAGCCAACGTTCAACTGTTTGCCCATACCGACTTTACTGTCGTTTCTGACGTTCGTGAGCTGTAAATCAGAATTGTTGGTCACGGTGAGCCCGTCCACTGTTTTCGGTTTTCTGGACGGCCTGTTGGAAACGCTTGACGAATCTTCGCCTTTTCTGGTGAACACGATACCGACTCCGGTACTAGTCGGCATCCTTAGCCCCCTAATGACTTCGCGCATGTTAAGCGTGATGCCGATCAGTACTTTTGATTTGCTGTGTTCTGTCTTCGGTTCGTCACAGGCGTTAACGAAAGGATTGCCCGTTACACATTTCACATCGATGTTTAATGTTTTAATACCTTCACCGAAAATATTGAGTTCATTAAATCCCAATAATTTTGCGAAAATGTTATCCACAGTGGTGACGTGTCCATCTGTATTGGACAATTTTCCTTCGACTTTAAGGCACCAACTGTTTGACTCAATAACAGTTTACTTACCGAATTCTTTAGCTTGTATACCTTCAAACGATTATTCATTATTGTTCGGGGATATCAATTAAAAAATATAACAT